AAATGTTTTTCATAAACATAGAAAGGGCTGGTGAGAATATTATAGACTGATGAATTTAAAAAAAAAACAAAATCTATCTGTAAAATTAATATTAAGAGATATTTTAAAGCCCTAGTAGCTCACTTTTAAGAAAGCTCAAATCTTGACTTCTAATTAACATCCAGGGCTCATCTTGGACTTTCACCAAACCTGCAAAAAGAATAATTTAATGAAGTTGTCCTAGAAGAAAGTCCTTTCTGCATTGTTTATTGAGAGCGAGATAACTTTACACATTAGGGACTGGTGCACTTAACAGATAACCATAAAAACTAGGGGCCTCGTCAACAATACAACTTCATTTCATAGTATCACAGGTACTGATATGTAAAAAATGATGTAAACAAAAATATGGATAAGTGATGACAGAAGACAATAAAATCCAGAAAACAGAAACAATACATATGTAAGTCAGCACATTACTTATTACACATCACTCAACAGACAGCGACACAACAGCCCAAACCCCAAATTTCAGTCAGTTCTGTAGTGCATGAGCCCAAGTGTGAAAATGGGGCACCATTCTGGCCCAGGAGCGAGAGAACAAGTCGTGCAGAAATTTTCTGCATCACGGTGTTCGGTGCTCTTCATTTGCAACCTCAGCTTTTTCCCTCTTTCTCCCTTTCCTTAAAGACAGACTTCCCACCCCCCCTTAAATTTTCTGCAGCAGGCTACTGGCTAGTCACACTGAGACTCTGCTAGGTGACCAAAGCCAGGACCCAGGCCTCCAGCAGCGAAAGCCCCATTTAATAATAGCTCGTTGCATTGCCTATACCACACAAATATGACAATTTATCCAAGAGGCTTCCCACTTGGAAAACAGGTGGCAGAATAAAAAGAAACCTTGATATAAAGAAAAAAATCCTTTTATGTTTATTATGCAATTTCTTAACCTGAAAAAGGCTAAGTTCACTGACTTTACAGATTCAAGTCTGGATAACTGGTTTAATTTCTCTGCCCATTGGCCTCGGTGACATCATGGCATTCCCCTGAGTCCGGTTAATGAGAGCAAGCAAGCAAGCAGACGGAAGGAGTGATTTAAAAAACAGCATAAAACAAAGCGAAAACATTATGTGGTCTGTATCTTTTGTATGTCCTGGTAAAAGCGTCAATGGAGCTAAGAAGCCAGCGTTTCTGCCATTCTACTTCAACAATGCATTTCCCACAGGAATCCCTTTCTCTCATGAGCTTAAGGCACCAGGTTGAACAAAGGTGGAAGGTCTGACATGCATATGGAATATGCAGGCTCTGAGGGATCTGTGTAAAGAGTAGCTGGCAGGGAGAAGAAACAAAGTGATCCATGTCTAGGCGGAGAGTCCTGCAGGCTTCAAGTGGGTCAGATAGACTAGACTAGAAGCACAAAGCAGTACTATAAGGCACTCCTACGGGGAAGGAAACTAGTGGGCTGGCCAGTGTGGAGGAGGAGCCTCAGGCCCCAGTGGTCCACTAGCCAGGGTGCTAGCTATGAGGCCTGAATCTGGGCCAGGGCTCAGGACTAGGGGCGAGGAAGGTCAAGGGAAGGGGAGGAGGGAGGCTGGCCTGCAGCTCCATGGCCAGTAGGAGGGAAGCTTCACTGGGCTGAGTTGCTGTGGGCGCCTGGGTCGTCTACGGCAATCACTGGCTTCACTCCAGACCTTTTGGACAAGATGGCTTCTGTTTTCACAGGGAGGAACCAAAGCAGAACTGCAGTTGTCTCTTCACTGGAGCTCAGCAGGAGTTTAACGATGCCTCCCATCACACCGGAGGCCACTCTGTGAGCAAAGTGCCAGGCAACATGATCACCTGGAACCCATTTTACACAAAACCCAACAACTACAGGGGTGCCAAGGAGCTCAGTCCACACATTTCTTTTGACTTTCACCTAGAGTTTAACAAGGACTTGGATTTTTACCTCCTGAGGTAAAAACTCACTAAAACACACTACAGAAAACTCCTCAGGTTAGAGATTTTTGAATACAATGAAATTAGAGTTATGACCAGTCAGGCTGCTGGGTGCTGGACCTAACTGTCCAGACACTGTCCCATGTGACAGAAGCCAGCAGTTGTCTGTCTGGGTTCACTGCACCGTCCTATTCACCCATGTCTGGGTGCGGCCTGGAGCGACAGGTTCTGCTCGACTCAGAAGGAGAAGAATGGTACAAGGTGCACAACACACGGAGCTCCTACTGCCCAGCTGTTCACAAGTACCAAGGAGAGAAAACCAGGGGACTTCCAATGACTCAATTCATGCCCAGGAGGGAGGTGTTTGTTTCTTTCCATCTTGCTGCAAATTCTCTACTTTTTCACATCATCTTTGAGTAAGAAAAGTAGTGAGACAGAAAACTCAAGAAACAAAAGAGAAAATTGCATGCACCTCTCCTTACTGGGAGGAGTAAAAATATAAAATAGGCTTTGTGTTGACTCCTGGCAGTATTAGAATCAGGAGTTGAAGGTTTACTTCATAATCCAGTTATTTCAATAAAGTACAGCAGCTCAGTGTCTGCCCAGACACCTGAACAGCAGCATCAGCGTTGCCCTAAATTAGGAGCAGAATGTCCCTCAGCCTCGTCAGATAATACTCTGGGCAGAAAGTGTTCGGTGTGGCATCACACGGTGCCCACCTTGATATAGTGTTTCACACAAGGCCTTTCTGGCCCAGTGGGCAGAGAACCAACCCATAGGTCTGGAAGCCAGGCCTTTTCAGGGAGGCATGGGGAGACACTCTCCAGCATCAGCGTTCAGTGTGTACGTATGCAGAGACAAAAACAGAGGCCCGTCCCCACCCGAGGGGGCTCCCTCCTGCTCAGTGAAGGCTGCTCTCAACAGCTAGTGACATAAACACCTCTGTTCTCAGTGCAGCGGGAGGAAGTCATGCATGGTCCCTTTGCAGGAGTCTGAAAAGGGGCACCGCGGAGTGGGCTGGAAGCCACAAATCCCAAGTGCTCGCAATAGTCCCTTTTTGGTGCAGGCCTGGTCTAGAACAATCAAAGAGTATTACCTTCTCGGCTAATCAAATGTTGCAGCTCCTAAAAAGATTACCTTTAGCACTACACACATGAAAACGACTATAATACAGGCCCCTGAAAAGGCTTAGTGAAGCAAAGAGGGGAAGACAGGCGTTTACATGGTTTTCATATAAAGAGGCTTTCAAAATTGGGAAAAAGCAGCCCTGGAGAGAACACAAGTCGCATTCCAGTTGACTGCTTTTTAAGTACTTTGTGGCCTTCCTGCAGCAGTGCAAACTGAGGTCTATTTTAGGAACTGGCTTCTTTACTGTAGGGTGAGGTGCCAACGTTTCACCAGGGTCGGGCTGTCTCACACATGAGTTTCTGGCGCTGAGAGGAGGGAGTTCCTCAAGTGATACGCCCGGGAATGGGCCTTTCAAGTGAAAAGAGGTTCTCCTGGGTCGGCTGCCAGCTCTAGGAGATTAATTGGCCATTTTCTCATGTGCTTTAGGCGCAAGATATTTAATATGGGATGAAAAACAGAACGTGAGGGAAAGCAGGTATTAGCTTGGTCTTACGGAGGTGGTAATCCACAGATTTGCTTTTGTTTCGACAGTTTCTAAGCAGTGGAACAATTACCTAACCATACACCAAGTAATTGGTTGGAGCTGAAAACAGTAAGGGCGTTCATGCGCTCTCAGGCATTCTGGGCTGAAAACAGCAATTCTAAATTTTCACGGCAGACCCAGCTCCGCGCCCGCTGCGCTGTCCTCTCCGAGTTGGGCGGTGGCGGCTGCGAGCGCCGCGTGGGCCCGCGGCTGGCACCGGCCGGGCTGTCAGAGATGCACAGACAGGAGAGAACGCAGAAGCCGCTGGCAAACAGCTCCAGTTCTTGGTAGCTGGTGGTGATGGCACATCTATTTTTTCCTCTTTTGAAAATAAGCAGAAAACGACGCATCTGGAAAGCTCTCCTCAGAAGTTCACGGGGACTGCTGATATTTAGCAGGGCCCTCGGAACGGGCCCCGGCGACAAGAAAGGCCTTGAGATCAGGGGTCCAGAATGTCCCCCTGACTCATGGTGGGTCTGACCCTGGGGGCCTGTGAGGCGGGACAGGAAATTCTGTACACAGAGCAAACATGCTGGAAGGGGAGGAGACGGCTGTGCTCTCGGGTCTCCAAACGCGCTGCGCTGGGCGCGGTCTCGCTGACGGTCCGAGTCACAGATGCGTTAATTACCGCGAAGGCAGGAGTAAGCTACAGTGACAGGGAGCGGGGGTGAGGGAAAAGGCACTGTGCCATCGGAGCACATCTGTTTTATAATAAGCAGGCCCATAATTCTCTAGTGAAAGATCCTGTTCTGCTATCTTCTTTGAGGCTGAAAAATATAAGTGCTGTATTTCACGGAAGGGGGGGGGGGTAGGAAAGAGGAGATGATCAAATTTGTTTGCCTCTTTGCCAAGTGCTTGTTTGAGATTTTCCACCCTTTTACTTTTGTGTGCAACGCTCTCTATAGCTAGAGCGGGGGTGGGGTTGGGGAGTCAACCTGTTTTTCCAAGAGTAAAAGGCACCGTAAGGCATCTCGGGAATGGGGCCCTTGTCTCTTAACAAAACTCCATGCCTTGGATACAGCTCCTATAGAATTAGAAAACAAATGCATGTGTGGTGCTGAGCTATTGAGTGGAAATGTGTGGTCTGGGGCCAAAGGAACTGGCTCAGCTGGAGAGGCGCAGTGCTTATAGCTGACAGTCCGCACAAAAGTCAGCCTGAAACGTCACGTCTCTAAGGAGTGTAATGAGTTGGGATCTGAGGGGAGCAAGGTGTGGGGAAAAGGAGGCATGGAGTTAAACGTACCATCGTTTCAGTATAAGCTTATTTTTCTGTCTGGGAAGAGTTGAGGTGAGGAGTGGGAACCGTGACCCCCAGCGCCACCGCAGCGCCACCATCCCTGCCGTTCCCGCCCCCGCCCCCCTGGGCTGGCTCCTACGAGGGCACTGCCGGGGGAGAGCACTCCCCGACCAGATGGCTGTGCAATCTGTTACATTTCTTCTTCCTATGATATTATTTGAGCACTTTTTGTTTTAAGGTGGCAATGATATATATGTGTATATATTTATTTAAACAATATTAGATTTAATTTATTAAATATATTTGTAAGTTTGGTATTTTCTTAATAGTATTATGTTGGTATTTCGAAGTTCCAGGCTACTCTTTTTTTTAAATGATTAAAAAAAATATGAAAGTAGCAGGGGTTAAACTGACAAAGGTCAAACTGAAAAAGTGCAGCGAAGAAGGATGAGAAATAAAGCATTTACAGTGAATAGGTAGGAACTGCCCACACAGGATTCTGCGAAAAGAAATTGAAGACTGTCTCTTGGAATGCATGCACTATGTATTTACCAGTCTACACACGGATGTGTTTAACGACAATCCTCGGGAATCTCCTCAGGCCAGCACCATTAAAATATCGTAAGTACCACCCATGGAGGCCCTGGAACGCCGCTCACCCGAGAGCCTCGCTCACACCCTGGGAGATGGGTGGAGCGTCGCCTCACTGGCGGAGCTGAGATTCGTACCAGCAAACGGAGCAGCAACATGCAGTAATTGGTCACAGCCGTCTCTTCTTTTTTAAGAAAAAACTTTTCTGAGATGGACTTCAAAACCATCACTAGCTCTCCCGATAAATTAGGGGTGCATGCTTTCTGTCGGGGGAGCTCGCGCTCCTGACTGCCAATGCTTTCGGCTCAGCTCAGGCGATCCCTGGGGAGGAAACTGCAGCGAGAGAGCCAGGGACACCGGATCCTGGAAGGATCCCAAAGTCATTCCTGTGTTTTGAAGATTTTCTTAGGAAACAGATGGTGATGGGTGCTTGCCTCAGTTACCTCACTGGGCTATGAAGGCTAAAAATAAATAACACACACAAAAAACCCCCAAAGCGCTGTTGTTCTGTTGGAAATGCTTCCTCCTGTGTAATAGTAAAATGGCCCCTGAGAGCCAAAAAACAAAAAGAAAAAGAAACATGTCCGAACCATAAAGCATTGTGTGTAAACCACATTTTGCTTGGGAGCAAGCAGCTGAAGTTCATGGCTAAGTATAATCAGTTATTGGTAGTTTTTTGAGCCACGGAGGCTCCACGGACCTTTTAGACATCGACTTACACAGAACATACGTATAGGTATGTGTGTGTACTTATATATGTATAAATATATATCTGTATCTAGCTGAAGGTGAGACGTACTCTTCATCCAAAGGGGTCTAACTGGCTAGCTAGGAAGCCGCTGGGGCTGCCGGATCACTGAGAGGCCAATCCCGGGCCTTGGGCCCCTGCCCAGTCAGGTGTTCTGGTAGGACAGCTCAAACATGTTGCAAGCCTCCTCCAGGCTCTCGTCCATGTTCAGCCTCTGCCAGAAAGACTTCTGCTTCTTCTGCAGCTCCCGGCGGACACACCTCGGGCAGGGGACAGACTTTTCTTTGCACTCAGAATGGAAAACGGCTCCGCAACTCTCACACCTGTGAAAGCCAACGAGGGATGTGATGAGCAAGGTTCAAATGAGCAAGACACAACACCTGCAGCCCCGTGGCCTGCGTGCAGCCTGGGACACTACATTTTATTCTGCACAGCACCGCCGCTGGGAAGAGAAATGACTCATAGAAATGAGTGCTTCCCTTTTTTTCCCAAATGTTCAAGGTTGAATTGTACTTGAAAAACTTTGTTTTTTGGGTGTTTTTTTTTTTTTTTTTTTTGTGATTAGAAGTAGCTGGAGAAGAGGCTTTTCGCTTGCTGGCAGACTGGAGCCAGCAGTCAACTAACAATGCTGTGACCCCAGAGATGATGGACAGAGCTCTAGAAACTCTGTGTTAGTTTCCTCTCCACAGAGAAAGAAGGGTGTGAGTGTCTCTAGGGGGAGGCGACAGAAACGAGGGTGCAGGGCCTCCACGACTGAGAATGCTCCCGGCGCCAGTGACAACCCCAGGGCTACGGCTATGGAAACGCCGCTTTCCACGGCAGTTACCGTGAGCTAAGTGGTTCTCTATCGACGCCCTGCCTTTATTGGACAGTGTGGGAAGGTAAAATGACACGTTTTCATTTGTGAATGCTATCCTGTGGCCTGTTGTTCTTCTGAGTTTTTTTTTTTTTAATTAGGAAAACCCACCGACCCTTTTGAGTCTACCTTTATAAAACAAGTGGAAAGAGTAAAGCATGAGGGAGCGAGAAAGAGAATATAGTTTTTTAAACCAGCACACAGATATTATAATCTGTAAGAGGAGACATTCCAGGTGGATGACTAGTTTGTTGTTTGGCTTGGTCGTGGAAGCCTGTACAGGAGTCTAAATGGCTTGTTTTTACTGCAAAGTCTTTAATAATGAGTAACTGACAGGCACAACTATAGCTGCTTCAGTGGGTGGCTTGCCAATGTGGATTAATTTCTCATCCTTCCACACATGAGTGACAAGCAACTATTACCTTGCCCCTGGAGCCCAGGAAATTGGGCCTACATGATTTTGTTCATCAGCAACATCAGGGAGGGGCCATCACTGGACCAGGTACAAAGCCGGCTATGGCTACAAAGGAACCAGGCCTCAGGGCTCAGCCTTGCGCCTCTTTTTCTTTCCCTGTCTTACCCTGAGTTTCATTCCTGGGCTCAGGATAGTCTTTGGAGCACCACTGCCTTGCTTGCCACTGACTTCCCCTTGGAACCAATCAGGATTCAGAGAGTTTTGTCCAGAGGAGGACCTTCTTACCCACCCTTGTGGGGAGGGGAGTGAGAGACACTGGGGAGAGTTAGGGTTAGGGGTAGAAAGAAGCTTCGCCACACCCAGCCATCTCTACCCTTAGCTCAGCTCTCTGTGCCCAATAAGCTCTGGTGGTTAGAAAAGTAAGCAAAGAGTGAGATGGCTGCCTTCCAAACCCTGCTTCACGTCGCTTTCTGGCTGTCTGACTGCTGTGGCCTGAACTGTGTCCCCGCCTCATTCCTGTGTTGAAGCCCTAACCTTCAATGTCACTATAACTGGAGATAAGGCCTTTAGGAAGTAATTAAGGTTAAGCAAGTCAGAAGGGTGAGCCCTAATCTGACAGGATTAGTGTCCTTACAAGAAGGGACAACAGGGAGCTCAGAGAGAAGGTTGGGGAAGGGCCTCGACAGGTGGCCCTCTAGCAGCCAGGAAGAGAGCGCTTCCCCACACCAAGCCCTGCTGCACCTTGACCTGGGACTCCCAGGCTCCAGAACTGAGAGAAATAAATCTCTGCTGTTAAGCCACCCAGTCTGTGGTATCGTGTACGGCAGCCTGAGCAGACTGAGACGACCTTGAGCAAGTTACTTCACCTCTCTGAGCTTCATTCCCTTTCCTTATCTGCTAGGTGGAGTTTCCAGGACCATATACCTGGCAGAGGTGTTGCGAGGCTCCAATGAGATAATGAAGAAAGCATTTAGCACAGTTCCTGGCCTTCAGTGAGTGCGTCAGACAGCTGAGAGAGATGGCCCCTTCTGCGGAGGCAGCTGCCTGCCGCCTTTCTGTGAGCCTCATTGCAGCCTGACCTCACTTATGTCACCACGGGGACCTGAGGACACCTTGGTCAACCCCCCCCCCCGCCCCCGATTTTACAGATAAGAAAACTAAGATTCTAAGAGGACAGGCGATTACCCCCCAAGGACCTGGTGAGTCCAAGAGAGTTGTGACTAGAACCCAGGACTCCCGGCCACTCAGCCGTGGCTCTTCCTGAGGCCTGGCCGCTTGAGTGAGAGCGCGTGCCGTCGGGCTGGGAAGTGCGGGGCTTTGAGTCAGACAATTGTGTTCCAGTCAGAAATCTTTCTTTGAGTGATTGGAGCAAGTGATTTACGTCCGCGGTGCTCTGGTTCCCTCATTAGTAAAACAGGCCGCTCACAATGACCTCCTTCCTACTCACTGGGGCCTGTGAGACTGAAATGGGCGAATGTGTATGGTTCAAACGGCAATGGCTTGAAGGAGCAGCAGAGTGTGACACCTCCTCTCCTGGGGGCTCTAGCCTTCTCGCCACTGGTGCTATACTGGCCAGGGCAGGTGACAAGCTGACTCAACTGTGGCATCTCCCCGCCCCCTGCCCCTCCTTCCTTCTAGTGGGGATGAAGGGGAGGCCGAGGTCTGCCTCTCTTGCCTGGCCAGCTCCTCCCCAGTGGTGGTGGCTTTGTCCCCACTGGGTCATACCTCTGTGCAACCTCCTATCAGTGAAGTGACACTAATGGTAGCTTTATCAAATAAATTTCCTCCTTCCTGCCCCCTTTGCCCTGCTGAGTTAGTCAGTGATTTATATACATAGGGATGTTGCCCTAGGGCGGTGATTGATAAGGAGAGAACCACTGGGTTCCTTCAGTGCCACTCCCTTATCTCTGCTGATACCAGCCCCCCACCCCCACCCCGCGGTAGAGGTTGAGTCTTATCGAATATTTCTGGAGCAGCAAACACCCACGGGTGATGGAGGGACCAAGTGCACCTGCTCTTTCTAACCAAAGGTCAGTAACTGAAAAAAAAAAGTGAGATAAAAAATTAATGATTTCAAAATAGAACCAAGTCCTGTTTTCTAACAATTTGTAACCCAGCAGGCATCTTTTGAACTGTATAATGGATAGACTGATCAATGACCTTCCTAAATTCAGAGACTCTGCTGTTAATTTTCCCCCTGACTTTTTCTTTAAAGGATAATAAGGGAGGAAAAGGAAGAAAGAAAAGAAACTGTTCTCTTACATAAATTTTACTGAGCTCTGCAACAAAAATGTAATGTTCAAGAAAAAGAAAGTATTTACATTAAAAATGCAATATGTAGGTTTGCTCCTCTTTGAGAATAGGACTTTATTAAAAAGGTCCTTTCACGTTAAAAAGTCACTGGTTCCTTAGTATTTACTGAATGTCCTGGCTTTACCTAAAATATGGTTTAACAAATGCCAACTTTTCAGAAACATGTCTTTTATATAAGGCAAATCTACTAGTGTAATCATCTGTGCAGAAAATTGCCACAGATAATGAAAGAGAAATGTCCCTCCAGTGTTCCTGAGTGACAAATCAAAGGAAAGCCGGCACCTCCATTTCTGAGTCATTCAGTCCCAGCCGTCAGCTGTTGCCTTGCTGTTGCTTGTGGCTGTGCACCACAGAGAACAAAGACCGATGTCCTCCCTTTCCCATGTCACGGAGAATGCCACCGCAGGGACACACAGTGGCTACGGACCACAGCCATCCAATGGGTTTTTCCTGAAAACATCCATTGCTTCACCTAACGCAGGCATCTCAACCTCAGCACTGCTGACATTTTGCGCTGGGTCGTTCTTTGTTGTGGGAGGCTGCCCTGTGCATTGTGGGATGTTTAGCAGCATCCCTGGCTTCTATCCACTGGATGCTAGTACCACCCTTCCTCCATCCCCTGCATTTGTGACAACCAACAATGTCTGCAGACACTGCCAAATGTCCAAATGTGCCGTGTGGCAGAGGTCAGCCCGGTTGAGAACCATTGGCCTGACCTGCCTGAGAAGGCCTCCCAGGGGTAAAACAGTGCGCTCCCTGGGCTTATGCTAATCAATAAAGTCCAGCATAGTATACCTATTCTTATCGCTTTCACAAGTATGTATTTTTAATATATCGTTTGATTAAAATAGCTGAAACTCACTAGCTTAATCACCCTAGGGTCTCAAAATAATTTAGGATATCACTAGAGAACAATTCTCTGAATTGCTCAGTAACTCTTAACTTTTCTATCAACTCACTCTGATTTTTCGGTCCTCCCCAAAAGCCATCTTGGTGGCTGGCCCTCAGTCATATTTGCTCCTTGGCCCAGAACCTTTGGGCAGTTTCCTGGTCGTATTCTTTGCTTCTCCATGCCCTGTCCAGGTCATCTAGCAAATCAAAACCAAAAACTTCTGTATTTGCTTTGTAAAATAAATTGCTTTTATGTCACTGAAGCAGTTAGGTTTTAGCAACCACTGTAGTGAAGAGGAGGCTGGTGAATACCGATGAGGCCTCTTACTGCAGCGGGAGGGCTCGATGGAGTGGCGAACCCGGAGTTCTCGGCCCTGGGCGGCCCTACAGGCCCTGGGCTCTTGTGTAAGTCACTCATCTCTGCACCTCACTTTCCACAAAAGTGAAAAAGAAGGTTGGGTTGGATAGTATCCAAGGTTCCTTCCAACGTGTACATTTTGTGCAGGAGGGAAAAAGCCACTCTGGGTTTTGCCCTCCTCTTTCCAAATTTCCTTGCCCCAAAGTCCGTGGACGAAGGATGGGAATGTAGTCTTGTGGGCCCTCCTGGGCAAGGCCCAAGCCGACAAGCTGGGCCAGCCTGAGACGAGCCTTAAAGTGAAAAACAATACTTTAAATCTTATTTATTTGCATTGATGAAGCAAAAGCTATGAAATAGTTTATATGAATTAGTACATGCAGCTCTGACCATCAGGAATTTGGACGAAAGGAGCTGCCCCTGCCCCGTCATATAAACTTTCAATTAAATATGAAGGATTTCTTCCTAGGCCTTCTCCCACCCTCATCAGCAC